TAGGTTGGTTCTGTGCTAGGCCCTCATCCAAAAATTCTATGTCCATCACTTCTCCCTCCTTGCCTAACACCGAATCCTCGTTGAGGGCAGAGGTGATGGGGGGTCCGCCTGAAGGATGGACAGGTTCCTAGGCGGGATTGCCGGTCTGGATAATTGGGCCCTGCGATGCAATTCTGCATCCACCCCCTGTGAGATGGCAGCTGAAATCATTTGATGGAGCTCATGGCCTTCCTCAGCTCTGAGGCCTGCAGCTGTGGGTGTAAAAGTAGCTGTGGGCCTCACACGTGGGAGCATCTGGGCCAAGGCTGGGCTGATTTCTGAAAGGCCAGGGGGGGATTGGGTCCCCAATTCCCCCTCCTCAGATGTTATTCCCTGGGGTAAAGGGAGATCAGGGGACCAACTGTGGGTCCCGGTCAACTGCAGGGAAGAAACGGGGGAAGGCCCCTGGGGAACTAGCATGGGAGGTGACCTGCTTGTGGCCACAGAGGCCTTGGCCGAAGGTCTAGACTTATCTTTACATTTAGCAGCCCTATCCGGCGCCGCAGACGAGGCGCGAGGCTTCTGGCTAGAGGCACTGGTGGTGGCCCAGCCTGGCCTGGCGCTGGCTTCCGCATCATTGGAATTGAGCGGGGAAACATTAATAGACCCAGCAGTGCCTCCGGAGATGGACTGATCGGCCATAATTAGCACAGGAAGAGTTGAAAGGCTCAATCTCACAATTTAATGCAAAACACTTGCGCAGCTCCAATAGCGAAAGTTGATTCCGTTCACTGAAAGAGCTACTACATATGCCGAGAGGAGCAGCGGCGCACTGACCACCTCAAGCAAAGAGTGAGAGAAAGAGAGAGGGGAGCCGTTGGCGTAACACCGCAATTTAGGCGTGAAATGCCAGACACGCCCCTTCTGGCCACTGCTCGGCGTGCACCCAACTTCTTCAAAATGGCGACCACCATATAATTGGCGCAAAATTCAAACTGGTGGCTCTAATGGCCGCCGTTCCGCCTGAGTCTTCCGGCGATGCAAACATCGCAGTGCCAACTCAGACAGCAATCGTGGCAAGGCAGTGGCCAGGTGTCGAATGGGCTGTGGGACATACCGCGCTAGCTCTAGCAGGTCACGGCCAGCCCAACTGGTGCAGGAGTGGCAAACCAACTCCCAGCCGCATTAACCAGCGCATGGAGAGTGGCAAACCTACTCTCAACCATGACCCGCAGGTAATTAAATGCGATCAGCGATCCTTCCAGATGTGCCGAATGGCTTTCAGGCTGACAGCGAACTGTTGCCCATAAATCCAGCCAGGCACGGATCCGCGCTTGATTTCTTCTCCAAGCAGTCAAAAAATTCCCACGAGGAATCCAGAAGAATGAGGAAATTTGCCTATTAGTCCTAGAGCAAATTGTTTTACGTCTCTTTAGGCTGGACTGAGTTAAAAAACTGGACCATCCAGTCAGACGAGGCGTGGTCAACAATTACGTAACTCTAGGCTAATGGACAAAGTTAACCCATGCTTGGATTCCCTAAGCAGCGCGCAGGAGAATTGCCTGGGCAATAATCTGCTGAAACCTCTCTGGTAAGCTCAGGAAAGGCTGGGGAAAGAGTGGGAGGCCTCAAAACCGTCTCAGCCTCAGCAGCTTGAGGAGCAAGCCTAGGTCTGCTCACCCCAACAGTCTGTCTGCCAAAAGGATCCCGTCTCTGGGCCCCAGGGTGTTCATGGATGATAGGGGGGGACATAGAAACACCCCTCTTGAAGATCTCTGAGATCTAGGGGGTGATTCAGTAACAGACGTGAGCCTAAGGGGCGAACAGAACCTGGAGGGGGAAGGGCTAATGCAGTCCCTGGTTCTTCTTGAGGAAGCCCTGGTGGAAACACCCTCATCTCCCTTGTAAGAACTCCCTGCTGTGGTAGACTTGGAGGTGGGCCTCTTGCCCGAGGCCTTCTCTCTGGTCGTAGAGGGGCCCCTGGAGGTCCCCTCGTCAGGCTCAGGATCCACAGGGGAATCCGGTGGTCCTGTCCCTGGTCGTCTCGTGGTGTCCGCCATTAAGCAGGCTTCCCCAAGGCTGCAGGTACTCACAGCTCCACTGACCATCTCACAAGGCTCTCCACGGTCTCCTCCGCTCCTCACAATTAAATTTAGGCTGCTAGCGATCTTGATGAGCCCTGTGCCTCTGTGCATGTAGCCTCGATGGTACTGCCAATCCGTGGCTCGATTGTGCCGCCGATCCGCAGCTTGAAGTCTGAATGCAGGAAAAGCAGCTGGAGGCAATTCCCTTATTGACGGGGTGAGTTCCTCTGCACATGGCTGCCTATGGAGCTCCAATGGCTGCCCCAGCCACATCCGTCTTCCCGGAAGCTGGCACAGGGTCAAGATGGCGGCCACCGACCATACGACCCGATTCCTTTAGTTCTGCCTCACCAGTGCCCCCAGAGGCCCGGCAGAGCTCCAGCGACCCCCAATGGACTGGGGATGCAGCGCCTCTTCAGATCTCCTGGCGCCTGGCTTCAGAGGCGCCCCAACAACCATCAGCGGTCTTGGAGCCTTAAGGTGCCCCTGCAAAGCCCAGCTATTCACAAGCACACGGAAGACAAGGGAGGAGGTGGGGAAGGTAAGGATGGAAAATTCTCACACCAATTTTAAGAAAATCAGAAGCCAAGAAATAAGTCTCCTATTAGGCCGAAAGACTGAGATTAAACTGGGAGCCAGGAAGTGAGGCAGAGGGGAGTGGCCTCAATTTAACCTCAGCCTCAAGGCAAGTGGGGTCTGAGAGTATCCCATCTATTCCTCCCACAGCGTTACCTAGGAGACTGGAGCCATGTAGAGGGGAGTGGCCTCAATTTTATCTTCAATCTTTGGGCAGATCCATGGACCGAGGATTGGGGATCCCTGGTTAGATAGAATTGCTGCAGCAACGTAAAAGACATTCGGTCTTTTTTCAGGTGTATCTTTGCATTTTAAAGAGAGAAGATATTGTGGTGCAAGTAGTACAAGCTGGAATCTAATGACTAAATGCAGAATGGGAAAACAACACAAAAGCCAGCGTTTACTCTGTATATACCAATGTTTCTCGAATGGGAATGCTGGGAGCTGAAGTCTACACATCTTAAAGTTGTCCAGATTGAGAAACGTTGCTCTATGCAAGGAGTCTTCGACTTGAAACCATTCATTTAGCGACTGAAGTTACAGTGGCACTGAAAAAAGTGACTTACAACCAATCCTCGCACTTACAATCACAGCAGCTCCATGGTCACGTGATCAAAATTCGGGTGCTTGGCAACTGACATCTATTTACAACAGTTGCAGTGTTGTGACCTTCCCAGCTGTTTTATGACAAAGTCAATGGAGGAAGCTGGAATCCCTTAGTGACTGCAGTAATTGACTCGACTGTGGGGCGGGAAAAGGTTAAATTCAGGCATCACTCACTTAACAATAGCCCCTAGAAATTAAAATTCTCCGTGACCCGTCAAAACTGCGCTCGACTAAGCCACGCCTGATTAAACCGCGTTGCTGATGTCATCAACAGGGAGACAACAACCAGCGTGGAGAAAGAAGGGCGCTTTAAATAGCGCTTTGAAAGCAAGCCGATTCAACTTAAGGTAAGGGTTAGGTTTAGGTTTAGGTTAAGGGTTAGGGTTAGATTTAGGGTTAGGTTAAGGGTTAGGATTAGGGTTAGGTTAAGGGTTAGGTTTAGGTTTAGGTTTAGGGGGGGTTAGGTTTAGGGGTTAATTTTAGGTTTAGCATTTACAGCGTGCTTCTGTCTCCGCGCTGTTGTCGCCCTGTTGATGACTTCAGCTACGTAGTTTAGTCGAGCGCGGTTTAGTCGAGCGCGGTTTTGTGGTGGAACCAAAATTCTCATCCCAAATGTTGTAAGTCAAGGACTAACTGTACAAAATAAAGGTATTTCAGCAGGAAGCCTGTTTCTCTTTTCTGGAGACATATTTCCTTTCACTCTAGGTCTTCTGTGTACAACCAGTAGTGCAATTCAACCCATTTAACAACCGGTTCGCTGAAAATGTGGGTGTGCATCGGCGAGGATCGACCTAACAGCCTTTTGGGGCCTGCTCCACTCCATCTCTGCTCTCCGGGGCAGCAGCTGCTTTTCTCCACTGCTTCTCTTGCTGGGAGAGAGCGTCTCTTGTGCAATTTAGCAGCTGTGAGCCACTGCTTTCCCCCTCCGGAAAGCAAGCAGACAGAGAAGCAGGAGCCATGTTGAATGCTGGTTCTCTGTGCCACAGTGCTTTCCGGATGGGATTTAGAGGAAAGCGTAGGCTCACAGCTGCTGAATTGCACAAGTGACGTTCTCTCTCCCAGCAAGAGAAGAAGCTGCCAACCTGGAGAGAACATGGAGAATCTCCATGAGCCACTGAGGCTTGGCAAGGGAAGAAGCAGCTGCAAGATCTCCGCTGCAGCGCCTTCCGGGTGGGACTTTAAGTTAAGAACCATCCAGTCCATTCCCAAACCGCTATGTCCCTCCTGTGTCCATGCTGCCCCCCCGGCAGCCCTTCAGCTTAGCGCGGCAGGTCACAGGCCAAATAAATTGCTTCGGCCCTGGGGGGGGGAGCGTAGTTTGAGGCTGGGTGGAGGGGCGGGGGGCTCTGGGTCACGACAGGATCAGGGAATGGCCCATTTCCCAACTAAGCTGAGGGGGGGGGGCAAGCAGGCAGCAGCTCTGGGGCAAGGCCGTGGCATTGCATGTCCCTGGGCACCAAGGTAGGCGGTGAGCGGGCAGCATGCTTACCTTTGGTAAGCAGAGCAGGCGAGATACAGAGGTTAGCTGGACGGTTTGGATCACATGGCAAAGGGAAGGTAATATATTGGGTAGGACTAGCCTGTGGTTGATTTTACCAGTTCTACGAACTGTGCAAAATCTGAACAACCGGTTCACCCAAACCAGTCCGAACCGCCTGAATTCCGCCAGTGTACAACCTTCTTAGCCTTTCTGAACATCTAACAAAGCATGGAGGCTTTAATGCACCCAACCCAGATCTTTCTCAAAATTCAAAGTGCTTAATCACAGAATTTTATTTCCAAAATAATTTAAACATATTTTTTGCATCTATTTCAAAATAGTTTCCGTTCCCAGTGTACATTATGGGATATAATAGATATATAGAAGCTGACATATTCCCCAGGGCAGTTCTATAGACATAAAGCCTGTTTTGAATTTTTTTCTTTTTTATAGCAGAATGATAAGCTTCTTCATGCATGTAAAAAGGTGGGCACCATCTTGGCTCCTTTGACCACCTCTGCAAATGCCACCTGAATTTAGAGGGTGGTGGCCATTTTGAAAGCCTTCCTCAGACGCTGATGGTTCGAAAGATGTTAAACCCAGACAGGGCGGTGGTGATGAGGGTGCCAGGGCATTGTGGGTGCCAGTGCAGCTCCTTGATATCATTCTCTCCTTGGTGAACGAAGAGCAGCTGGGGTGGGATGGTAGCCAAGCCTGGGTCCTCAACCTCTCCTCCTTCGTCACGTTCCACAGCTAAGTCCCACTGAGTCACTTGGTCATCAGCCCCAGAGGCAGCAAAGACACCGCTATCGGTGGGGTGCCATTCCACTGATGTGATGGGCGCAGTGTGTTGTTTGAAGGTGGCAACCGCTGAACCTTTCTGTGGGAGGAAAGTGACCATTATTATAAGCCAAGATAATAAGGAAGAATGGGGGCAGAGGGTGCCCATGTTCAGGGAAATAGTTCATTAATTAACCCAGTTACTCATAGATCACACAACACAGAAAGCAAAAGTTATAATTTATTAAATTTAATTGCCACCTATCTCATCATGGAGCTACTCTAGGACCATGATGGCAAACCTATGGCATGCAGATCTATCTCTCCAGGCATGCCAGCTGTTGCCCATTGCTTTTCCGGGTTCTGGTGCACACGTCTGCACCGGCCATCTGGCCTTCATGCATGTTGTAACACGGGAAACCGGAAGAGCAGCTCTCTACTGCGCATGTGTGTGCTGGGAAACTCTTCTTTCGGTTTCCGGCACTTCCTTGTGTGCACGTCCGTGTGCTCTCATTTCAGCACTCTGCCTAAAAGGTTAGCCAACACTGCTCTAGGATCTTGCAACAATAAAAAAGAAAAAAATTAAAAGAATGTAAACAAATCAGGTAAAATAATAGAATAAAATAAACAACGAAAAAACAAGAATGTACCACTATGATAACAAAAGATGGATGGGCGGAGAGCAGAGAGAGAGAGGGGGGGAATGTGCCTTCTATTGGCTTGAGGGCCACATCAGCTTTTAAGGGGCATGTTGAGAGCCATACTTCCAGGTGAGTGGGATAAAGCTCACTTTGGGAGTTTTAAGGCACAAAAAAGATAGTGGCATCTGTAAGTCTTAAGCCTCCAAATTCAGTAGAAGTCAGATTTTAGAGGGAGAGGGAATGTAAAGGATGTTGCAATCACAAAATGAATGTGCAATATTCAATTTATGCCCCATGGCTGTTTCTCAACCTTGGTGGCTTCAAGATGTATGGACTTAAGCTCCCAGAATTCCAGCAATGCTGGCCGGAGAATCCTGGGAGTTGAAGTCCACACATCTTAAAGTCACCAAGATCGCATCACTTCTATAGTAGTTGTTCGGTCCAAACCAACCAGATGCCTCAGGCATCATAAGTTGTGATTATTCCATACTTCATCTGGCAGCAGGATTGGCTCACCTGGAACTGTCTCAGATCCCAAATCCTTAGGATCCCGTCATCACCGCCACTGACAATGAAGGGCTCATTTCGGTTCCAACTAATCACATTGACGTCTGCATCGTGCGCTTTGCTGGTGGTCAGCATGCAGGCTTTTCCTGGTGCAGCCCGTGTGTCCCAGATGCGGATGGAAGCATCAGATGAACATGAAGCAAAAACCTAATACAGGGATACAAAAAAACATTTCCTTCTCAACAAGGCGACCTAAGCTCTCTTACGTCTGCAATAGGCTGCGGTTTCTCTCTGCTGCATATTCCTCAAGGAAGAAGAGATCTAATTTACTTTTGCATGTGAATGTCTTTAATAAATGAACAGACCTCTGAATCAAAGTTCCCTGAAATTTCCACAATTCCAAAGGGTTGTTTTATACAAATAAGAAGATACAGTATTTTTCATCTCTCTACACCTTCCTGGTGTGTAAAGGTTTCCTTTGCTCATATGTACTAGTCGTTCCTGACTCTAAGGGGAAGTGCTCCTCTCCGTTCAAAGCCAAAGAGCCAGCATTGTCCGAAGACATCTCTGGTCATGTGGCTGGCATGACTAAACACCGAAGGTGCACGGAATGCTGTTACTTTCCCACAAAAAGTGGCCCTTATTTTTCTACTTGCAAGTTGTATACACACTTTCGAACTGCTCGGTTGGCAGAAGCTGGGACAAGTGATGAGAGTGTTACACGGCATTAGGCATTCGAAACATCGAACTGCCAACCTTTCTGATCGACAAGCTCAGCCACTGTGCCTTGGTGTATCCCATGAAGCTCATTCAGAAAGAAAAAGAAAGAAATAAAAATGCAACAAAATGCAGCAGAGTTAGGCATTCTTACTTGGAAATGTGTCCTAATGTGTTCAGTTATATTTATTCCCAAATAAAAATCAATAGGTCCCAAAGTTTACACAATGCTGGCTAGGAAATTTTGGAACCTGAGGTGCAGAAATCTTAAAAATTTCCAAGATGGAGAAACAATGGCATTATTTATTATTATTCACAACAACAGAATTGTATCACAGCGGCCAGTTGTTTTGCCGGACTTGGCATTGATTACTATTACTATTATTATTTATTTATTATTATTATTATATTATTTTATTAATGTGGTTAATCTTTTGTGAGATTCACAGCCTTTGGGGCTGGTTGGTAGCTCAACAGCTCGAGTCCTAACCAAGGACCTAGGAACTGTTAAGGTAACGTCGGAGGATATAAGCTGTTCCAAGTAGGATGTTTTTTTGTAGAATCAGAATGTTCAGGTCTGATAAATTTAAAATTTCCAAATAGTGAGGTATCCCTTTGGGTATTGCTCCAAGGGCTCCAATTACAATTGGGACAACACATGATTTCTTTTTCCACAGTCACTCAATTTCAATTTGCAAGTCCTGGTACTTTGTGCTTTTTTTCTTGCTGTTTATCTTCACTTCGCGCATCACCAGGTATTGCAATGTCAATGAATCATACCAAACTATTATTATGTCAGGTGTGTTGTAAGCCAAGTGCCTGTCAGTCTGGATTCTGAAATCCCACAAGATCTTGACTTTCTCATTCTCTAAAACCTTCTGAACCTTATGATCCCAGTGGTTGTTGTTGTTGTTATTATTATGGTGACTCTTAAAATAAATGAAGTTTATTGAAACATCCTCTTCCTTATAGGCAAGATTATTTGCAAAATTGCACACACCGAATTAGCGACAACTTACTGTAGCTTCATTTGGGGACCACTGTATGTCTTCCACTGACGCTGTGTGGGCTGTGAAAGGACGCTGATCTACAAACCACGACCCGTCCTCCTTGGGTGTCCATAGATGGATATTTTTATTGCAGTCTCCAGTCAAAAGAGTGCCTACATCAAACAATATCCAAAATATCATGATCCAGACTTCATACATTCTCATCTCCTACACCTATCTTTCCCTTCCCATTCTCCCATTACCTGGTTTCTTAGGGGACCAGTCCATGGCAAAGCCCTCGGACATATGCCCAGCAAATGAAAAGATGGGCTTGATCTTGGCCTGCTCATCTCGCAAGAAGGTTGTCATCGCTTGGGGGTCAGAAACAGCCACTAAGAGGCGCTGAAGATCATATATATCCACCTGCCCTTTCTCAGACCAAGCGGCAACTACTTGAGTCTCTCCCAGCTCTGTCACCTAAAAAGGGGGGAAATAGCAGGGTAGCCTTAAGGGGAAAATAGTTTTATCAAAGGAAGCAAAAATGGGAAACATTCCATACCCGCACTCTGTTAATCCCTCCATAGTGGGGAACCATGGCCAGTTCTAGCTGGGGTTTCTTGTCTTCATCATCTTCATCTTCACTCTCGTTGCTACTCTCTGAATCAGAAGAACTTTTGCCAGCTGACTTGGTCCCATGGAGATTGTGCATTTTCATCACTAGCAACCTGTGTGTTCATCAGGGTGGGAGGGAGGAAAAACGTTATTAAATGGATTGAAAAGATTTTTACCTTTCCCCAACTTAAATCCAGTTGTGCTGGATTTCAGGCCCCATCATACGGTGGGTCGTGTGGTTTGGGAAGGATGGGAGTTAAAATCAAATACTTTTAGAAGGTATCAGGCTATGGAAGATTCTCTTTTTTGCTCATTCAGCTGATTGTTAGTTTAGCAAACAATAAGGTAGTCCTCAACTTAGGACCATTACTGGCTCCTGAATGTCTGAGGCCAAGCAAGGCGGTTGTTAAATGAGCCATGCCCAATTTTACAATTTTTTGCCACGATTGTTAAGCGAATTCCTGCATGTTAAGTGAATCACAGTTGTTAAGTGAATTCAACTTCCCCATTGACTTTGTTGTCTTAAGTCAGTTGAATTGGTGATCACATGACCACAGGCCTCTGCAAATGTCATAAATACATGCCAGTTGCCAAATGCCCAAATTCTGATCATGTGGCCGCGGAGAAGTTGTGACAGTCATAACTGTGAGAATTGGTAGAAGATCACTTTTTTCAGTTTGACTGTCACTTTGAACAGTTGCTAATCGAATGCTTTGTAAGTCGAGGATTACTTGTATTGATCCATCCCAAGCACTCACCTGTTCGCCTGGGCAGTTTCGGCCTGTGTTCCCGCACAGAGGAAAAGGCTCAGTGGGTAGCTAGTTCGGTTGTCTCCAAGGGCATCATGCAAGATGTCGAAGCTCAGGCAAGGAGCCCCTGAATTCACAGCAACAGAAGGACTTCATTTATCTGGGCCATTTATCTAAATGTTTACTTCTAATTTTTGCTATCCTATTCACAATTTAGCCTCATCTTCTTTCTTAATATGCAAACATTGTGTTGCATTTTATCAGACATACGAGTATATAGTCTTACAAAATAGCTCTCAGGTTCTATTTGCAATACAGATTCTACACATTCCCAAGTATTTGGAAGGCACTTTACCCTGTCCTCTGCCTGATACCTCAGGATTAAATGGAACTTCTATTACTTTTATTTTGCTATCTGATCCTTTCTTGACCCTCTACAGTTCAATTCATGCAATTACCAGCCAGGATAATCCAAAACTGATCCCTGGAATTATGGGAACTGAAGTGCAACAAACTTCAAGCCACAGCAAGGGGGAAACTATCATCAGTTTTGGACTCCCACAGTTAAGTGTGATTGTAAAAGCCACTGTTTTCTCAGTAGGATCGTAGACATATTTATCACCAACACTTTGGTAGCAGGAACACAAATTCTAAACTCAATTAGCAATAGCACTTATACCTCACTTTACTCAGTTAACAATAGCAATAGCACTTAAGACTTAATACATGGCTTCACAGTGCTTTATAGCCCTCTGTAAGTAGTTTACAGAGTCAGCATATTGCCCCAACAATCTAGGTCCGCATTTTACCGACCTCAGGAAGATGGAAAGCTGAATTCCTAAATTTGTTTACTTAGTTTGTCACTCATGTACAAGATAACAGGAATAGGAATAAACATTAATAAGAACACAGGAAATGGGTTCAAATAAAGGGGGACAGTAGGACAGGGACGCTGGTACGTTTATGCACGCCCCTAATTTTTTAATCTTTATTTATATTTCTTTAATTATTTGTTTATTTATATTATATTCTATATTGGTTATTTATATTTATTTATATATTAAATTTATCTAAATTCCTCCATTTAGATTGCTAGCAAATGCCTAACCCTAATTTTCAGTTTGCATTATTAGCGATTCACACTCCGTTTCTCCCCCCTCCCTTTGCCCGTGATCACGCCTTTCTCCAACCTAACGTGAGAATTGCCTGATTCTTCCTACCCGTGCCTGCCCGATGGTAGAGTCGATATGCGCCTTCGTCCATCACCAGCTCTTCTCCAGGGGCTGGTGGGGGACCTTTCCCCGGCACATAAACTCCTGCTTGAGACTTCCCTTGTTTCTTCTCCTCTTTTTCCTCCATCTCCATCTCCTCCACTTCATCGCTGCTGCCGCTGCCGCCCTCGCTGCTAGAAGCAGGGTTCTCCTCTTCCCACGTGCAGGACTCCTCCATCTTGAAAAAGGGCACAAGCTCCGCCCCTCTCGTCGCGCTTTGACTTCAGCATCGTAGAGATACGACGCCCTTAAGACGTTTAGCAAAGCTAGAGATGGAATATGGACCGTGGAGAGGCAAAGATTTACAGAGTGCAGTGCTTTAAAGAAATGACTTGCTTCCGAATCAGCATATTCCAAATTTAGAGGTGCAGAGGTTTGATGAACTCTTTAACTCACGAAAAAGAGGAGTGACGCAGGGAGTGTGAAGAAAGAAAGTTGAGGTACATCTGTTATTTTTAAGTCCCCGAGTTCTGAAAAGTCCTTTGCAGAGAGGAGTTTGTGGCCAATGTAGGGAGAACGCCGGTGTGTACCTATGTGCCTGGACTTTTAATTGCAAGCCGCTCAGAGTCGCTGTTCAGAGATGGGCGGCGTACCTGTGGAAATTCAATAAATGCATAAAACTGTATACAGTATACATACATATATTTATATGCAGACATTATAATGCATCTTAGTCGGATTTTTTTATTTATTAAAAAAAACCCCAATAATTTGACTTGCAAAGAAGAGCAACTAGGATGATTAAAGGCCTGGAGACAAAAACATATGAAAAACTTTTGCAGGATTTGGGGTTTGGCTAGTGTAGAGAAAAGGAGGAGTTTTAGGGGGAACGTGGTAGCAGTATACCAGTATCTAAGGGGCTGCCACAAAGAAGAGGGGGTTAACTTATTTTCCAAAGCACTAGAGGGCAGGACAAGAAACGATGGAAACTAAGCAAGGAGAGAAGTAATCTGGAATTAAGGAGACACTCCCTAACAGTGAGAACAATCAGTGGAACAGCTTGCCTTCAGAAGTTGTAGGTGCTTCATCACTGCATGTTTTTAAAGAAGAGTCTAGTCTAGACAGTCACTTGTCTGAAATGATATAGGGGCCCCTGCTTGAGCAGAGGATTGGACTAGAAGACCTCAAAGGTCCCTTCCAGCTCTGTTCTGATTGATTGATAAGTCCGAGTGTGGCTGTAGCTCTCATTCCATGGCTTGCATCCTTTGAAGACACTGACACTGTTCTTAGGTCAAAGTCCGAACAGGAAAGTCAGGCATTGTTTGCAATCCGACACCAGGGAGGTGTCTCTCCGGAGATCCAGGGCACAAGTCCCTGGTAGTCTCGCCTCCAGCCCCTCTCCTCTTAGGAGCAAGGCTCAGAGCCCCGTTCTGTCCCTAGTTGTGCCCTCATATGGCCATCAGAAATTGAGACGGGCTGGACTTTGAATTGCAACACATATATGTTGAAACTGACTGTCATCTATAATCTCTCACACTGTCTGTCTATCTAATCTAGCTATCTATCCATCCACCCATCTCCATTTATCCATCACTATCTCTCTCTCATCTCTCATGTATCTCTCAAGCTCTATCTCTATATCTACCTACCTATCTACCTACCTATCATCTATCATAGTGTGTAAGCATTGTTTTGTCTCTCTCCCTCTTGACACTCCAATTAAGACTTTGAAAGAAGTACATTCATGTTGCTTAAAGGAAAAGATATAGCATCCTACTTGTTAGGGCAAACTCTTTGCATAGTAGATATAGTTGCTCAAGGGAAGCACAGGATGATCATCAAAAACTCATTGTCTCATCCAGGAATGAACACTTCCCATTCATTTTCAAAAACCTTAAAGCTCTACCACCCTTTTGACTGTGGGTAGGTGGTGCCTGCCTTGTTTTGGAAGGCCACCATCTTAGAAAAGGGCAGTGGGCAGCCATCTTTGAATAAAGAGTTCTGTAATATTTTTACAGATACAGATGATTCACAGAGGACATTTTCAATGTGGGCAGAGACAAGAAACGACATTTTGGGAAAGGGTAGATGATTCCACCGCAACTTAGATACCCCCCAGAAGTCCAGTTGGTTTAATCTCCATGGTAACGGAGAGTTCAGCTCAGCCATATCAATTAGGTTTAAAAGGGCTGCTGAATGGCTTGCAATATCTCCCACTTGAGACGTTTCTTCTCAGGCTCAGCTGTTAATGTTTTCCAGCTAAACATTTTGCATTAATAATAGCAGTAATTATGTTTGCTTTAGCATCATCTTCTAGTGGCTTCGTCGTATTTCTGGGTTTGAACAGAAAATTATATATATATGTATGTATCTATGTGTGTATGTACGTATATATATATATATGTATATGTACATATGTATATATGTAATATATATATAATTCAATACAATACATAAAATACAATATGTAAAGCAAAATGCAATTCTGAGCCAATGTAGTGAATTATATAAAATGATTTGGGGGTGGTGGTTGGTCATTGTTTGGTGGACAACAGCAAAGCCCAAATCAAAAGATCAGGGATTGCCAAGATTTCTTAATATGTGTACAAACCATTTGGACAGAAATACAAAATTAACAAACTACATCAATGCATGTGACAAAAAGCTTCAAAGCTCATAAGGCACACGACAGAGGAATAGGTGTCTCTGAATATGTACAGCACTTGAGTGCCCTTATGCAACCCCAATTTTCAGTTATTTTGGAGAGAAAAAAACTATTTCCTCATTGAAGATTGTGCTTTCTGTGTAAGTTTGAACCCACTCCATTACTTTCTGAGAAACGAAGCTGCTATTGCAAGAATGTACAGTTAGTTACTTCCAGCAAGCAACGTGTCTCAACCTTATCAATTTTAATATGTGGGGACTTAAACTCCAGTATGTTGGATGGAGACTCTGGGAGTTGAAGTCCACTTTTTCTTGTTCCAGCTGAAAAACATTATCTAAAGAATAGCTATCCTCTTTCACCATAAAGCCTATCTTAGGCTCCAGTCTTTGCAATTTATCCAGGAGTGAGCTTTCCTGATTCATAGGATTTAGTTCTTATAGATGTAAATGCTTTTTTAGCCTCTCACAAGTGTTTCCCCCTTTCTTGCGTAAAAATCCATCTTCTGAATTCAAGCATGACATATAAATTGATGTGTTTTGTTTCCTGTTGAATTATGTATAACAGGAAACTAGGAAGTTGCCAGTGATTAGAATTGTGTATAAATAATAGGGGTTAGAGGTTATTCATACAATGTTGTCTTAATCATATTTCTGGGTGATCACCTAACCCTGGTTGAATTATAAATGTAGAATGAATTAGAGCAGTATTTGTCATGCTGGCTGGAAAATTCTGGGAGTGGAAATACACCCACCTTAAAGTTGCCAAGGTTGAAAAACATTGGATTAGAGCTTCTGTCTCTTGAAATTAAACACTCTTGGTGCTGAACCTGAAGCCTGTGAAGTACCATCAACCGTTATGAACAATCTCTTGTGGTTTGGAGACACTTTGGGGGATTGAAACAACCTTCAGATTTATAGCTTTTAAAAAAGGGAAGGAGACTTGGCAAAAAAGAGTGACATGGCAAGTTGGAATGACCAAGTAGCAGGAAAAATTGGAACAAAGATTTTCTCTCTCCTTATATGGACATCAAGGATACTTCTGTATGGCAGCCTTAAGGAACTGTCTCTGCTGTTCACATCAGTTGAAAAAGAAGATACCTTAAGAAAGGTAGTCAAGATAATATTTTCTTCTTCCTTCAACCTTCCATCACTGGAGGTTTTTAGGAAGAGATTGGACACAGCTATTTGTCCAGAATGGTATAGATCCGTGATGGCGAACCTATTGCATTCATGTCGGAAGTGGCACACAGAGCTATCTCTCCAGGCACGCCAGCTGTCGGCCATTGCTCTTCCAGGTTCCTGTATGCTGGTGTTTGCATGTGTGGGAGTGCCAGAAACCGGAAGAGCAGTGGGCAATGGAGCTTCCGGTTTCTGGCACACACATGGAACTCCCCAGCTGTTCTTCACACGTGCGGGAGAGCCAGAAATCGGAAGGCCAGAGCTGAGCTTCTGGTTTACAGCGCTCACATGTGCGCCAGCCAGTTGGTTTTTGCATGCGCGTGCACACCAGAAACTGGAAGACCAGGTGACTAGCACACATGCGCATGCACTGGAAACTGGAAGCTCAGCTTCCTGGCGTGCATATGCACTCAGGGGAGCTGCTCTTCCAGTTTCCAGTGCATGCGCGTGCTCCCATTTCAGCACTGGGTGCCAAAAAGGTTCACCAACACTGGTATAGATGTCCTGTTTGAACAGGAGATTGGATTAGGACCTCCACAGTCACTTCCCAATCTGTTTCTATTCTCTTCTGGCAACAGTGTTAACCATTACCTGTGCTTGGAAAGTGAGCATCAGTTATTTTCATGGAACTGCCTTTGTGAACCGATGGATTCAATTGTTGGAGCCATTTTCTGTTGATTCCCTTCATCCTGGATGTTCTTCCATCCAGCAAATTAAATGGGAAAATATATATACACAGACCATTTTTTCCCTGGCACTTGCCTAGAAGGGGAAACTAACATAATTTGTGACGGAGGACCAGGGGAAGGGGGGAGGAGAAAAAGAAAGATTGGTTTGACTGGTCCACCATTGGAGGGGGAAAGACCCATTGTTCACTAGTCTCCCTGACCACAGCAAGGCTTTATTGGTTTGTTTGTTTGTTTATAAAATTTATTTGCTGGCCATCTCGTATCCAATTATGCTGAGAGGCTTACAACAGAGAAAGACTGAAAAACATTAAAATCATACATCATAAAAAAACCACAGCTGGTAAAAAACACGAACAAATAAAATCCTGGGCACAAGATGGCAAAGAGTGGCGCTGGACACATGGGGTTCAATTTAATTAATTAACCATCTCCAATATGAAGTTCCCCCATTGGGCCCCAAACCATCTAGCAGAGCGAGGTCTTCATGCACTTCCCATGGACACAAACCTCCAAATATAACTAGAGGGAAGAGGAACAGCTCTACATAGTGACTAATGGGAGGGCAGATTTCCATAAATCAAATTAAAGAAAAAGGAGAGACGTTGCATAGTTCAGCACCTACTGGCACATGGAGCTTTTGAAGCAGAACAGGAAGACTATCTCCATCTCAAGGTAGATGTGATCAGAGGTTTATGTCATCTATTCAAGCCTT